GTGCGTGCGTGGGTGCGTGGGTGCGTGGGTGCGTGCGTGCGTGCGTGCGTGCGTGCGTGCGTGCGTGGGTGCGTGGGTGGGTGGGTGGGTGGGTGGGTGGGTGGGTGGGTGTGGGTGTGTGTGTGTGTGTGTGCGTGCGTGTGCGCGTGGGTGTGTGTGTGTGTGGGTGTGTGTGTGTGTGTATGTGTATATGTATGTATGTATGTATGTATGTATGTATGTATCTATGTAAGTAGGCAAGTAAGTAAGTAAGCAAGTAAGTAAGTAAGTAAGGAAGTAAGTAAGTAAGTAAGTAAGTAAGTAAGTAAGTAAGTGAGTAAGTGAGTAAGTGAGTAAGTAAATAAGTAAGTAAGTAAGTAAGTAAGTAAGTAAGTAAGTAAGTAAGTAAGTAAGTAAGTACGTATGTATGTATGTATGTATGTATGTTTGTATGTTTGTTTGTTTGTGTGTGTGTTTTGTTTCCGACCTACTTATACATACATACATACATACATACATACATACAGACATACATACAACAGACAGACAGACAGACAGACAGACAGACAGACGTACATACATACAGCGGAAGTATTGGTTAAGAACCCATTGCTTAAGAATTGGAGGGGCTGAAGTTTCCTGCACATGGTTGTTTCTCCACCCGTGTCAAGGAGCCTTTGACTTAGGAATACGAGCACCCCCTGAAAGCTGGGGCACATTCTTAACTCCGTGTCTTTCTGAACCGAATGAGAAGCGAGCAAAATGCCAAAATTATGAACCCGAGCCCTTGGATTGTTGACTTAAAAGAGACTCTTATTAAGGAGCTTGGGAACGAATTAGCCATCTGAGCCCTCAGATTCTTCACTTTAATAGTAGGCTCTCAGAGCTCGTTTCCAAGCCGGAGACTTCGGAAAACCCGCGAATTAAGAACCTGAGCTGTCAGAGAAGAATGCTTTGGCATAGTGGCTCGTCAGACTCCTTAATGCCTGTGTTCCCTGGTTCAAGCCCTAGCTACGCACGTGCTAAGAATCTGAGCCCCCCTGACCTAGCACTAGCAGATTCTTAAGCAGCGCTTCCGCGGTATTTACCTACTACATACATACATACATACATACATACATACATACATACATACACACATACACACATCTACACGAGCATGTCTGTGCGTGCTCGCTTCAAACTGACTGATGTGTCGCCCCGTCTCCTGAGGAGCTTGGACCGGGTGTTGTTACCCGTATTCCCAGAGGACGCAAGTGGGCCGTGGTCGCTGACCTGACTGCGACTTCAATGCTAGTTCGGGTGATGCCTTTCATGGAACCAAAGCCGATGCCTGAACAAGAGACCGGCATTCAGCAGAGACGGCCCTCGTAAGTGTCACTACTGTGTGACTGTGCGCAAGATCCTGGATTCCTAGCGTTCAGCTTCTTCGCGCCAGGCAGCCACATTCAGCATTCGACCACCCAGCGAGATCATCTGCAGAGGGACGAAGCCCTTGCCGAGCTCCTTTGCCGTCCCAAATACCTTAGATGAGGTTCTGTCTGCAAGATTTGAAAGAGTCTGGTCATACTCGGCCCGATGCGGTCAAGTGAGACTCAAGCTGCACTCTACACAACCCCTGGGCAGCCGAACGAGGCTGCAGCTACTGGACCTCGAATTTGACTATCCAAGTTGCGAATCCCAGATATGCGCCCGTCTCGCCTGGTGGAGGCACCAGCAGCTCTTTGAACTCAGATGGGCCCATGCCAATGGCCAGCGCCAGCAGCACCGCGCTGACCTGTGGCTTTCTCCACCGCATTGAATCCTAGACCCGAGTTGTGCTGACCAAGGTCAGCCGGTCTTGAGCTCTTAGGAGACGGAAAGATACAGGCTCAGGAACTTCGATTGCACCTTTCCAGCTGGTGGCTCTCGATGCCTCTTAGTCTTCTACGTGGAGGCACCAACATGCAGATCGATACTTCCGGAGTCTCTGACTTGCGAAGCAGTGCCCGTGTTTCAGGGGGCAGCCTGAGGTGGAACCACCTGCCGCAGTAGAGCCTGCAAGCATACCAAGCTGTCGACGTTCCCGTCCTATTTACATCCGACGCGTGGCAGCTGAAACATCTTGGCAACTTGACGTGCTGCTGTCAGGACTTCTGCTTCTCCCGCTGCCCTGACGTCCTTGATGTCAGAGGCGCTGGGCAATAGGTGCGAAACCTGGCCGGAGTGGTGCCACACACGAGCTTCAAGCGATACAGCTCAATGCCCCTGCCGAGCACCCTGAAGAATCCCGTGCGGCATCACGGGCATCTTGGACTTCAAGGAATTGAATTTGAGCATCGCTGGCCTGCACTCGTTTGAGAAACGGCTCGCGAAGATTGGAGCTGACATCAGCTGCTGTCGGGTCGAAACCCGAAAACCTCAAAGGCAAGCAACGGCAAGAACATGGCATGAGATGAGGTCACGAGATTGCAGCTGAGGTAGGAACACCTTGTAGGCATCGAAGCGGCTCCAATCCGGCTCAACTGCGTGGACCTCCCATCTTGGCTTCAGGGTGTACTGGGTCCCGAAAGGATTGCAGCAGCCGCGCTGTAAACTGCCAGCCTGGTCCATGGTGAGGCCGAAATCTGTCGTCTTCTGTGCCGCCAACTCGCCGTTGGGGCAGTTCTGCTCTATCGGTTCTATCGCCCTGAACAATCTCAGGAATAAACGGATGAATGCTTGCATGCTAAGTACATCGGCGCATGAGAGAAGATCGAACAAAGACGTCCGACAAAAGCCGAGCTCTAACGAGCACAGTATGCACAGGCCAACTCGAAAACACGCGCGGTACAGCAAAGTATGGTGGAGCCAAATCATATAGTGACGTAATGTGGCAGCACAAAAAAACAACAAAAAACAACAAAGAACAGCAAATAACAACAAACAACAAGCACACAAACAAACAAACAATCAAGCAGCAACACACAACCCACAACCAACCACCACCACCACCACAACAACAACAACTACAACAACAATTTCTACTACTACTACTACTACTACTACTGCTACTACTACTACTACTACTACTACTCCTACTACTACCACTACTACTCCACTAACGACTACTACGAGTATGACTCCTACTACTACTGCTACTACTTCCTACTACT